TGGGTTTGTGACTATGAAAATGGTCTGTTTGCTCTCCAGTCCTAATGATTATGACTCAATATTGTGCAACTTTACTGAGGATCAAATGCCAATGACTCTGCAATTAACTTGACTGAGAAGTTGATTATGCTGAAAGCTCCTATGATGATAACGACTTTGCATTCCTAATTGTGCCTTTCATGCCAGAGCACTTCATACATTGACAGGAAAAAAGCATTTAAGAGAAATAATTTCAGGTATACTGAAGCTGGAAGCACTTCGTCTAATGAAAAAAAAAATAATCAACTCCTCAATTTAGCATCTTCTTTCTCAAGTGCATGACAGGTTCTTCAAGAAGTTATAAGCGATTGATGGATTTGTTTCATGAATTTTCAGGATAATATCAGCATGGTACAGGATTGCCCCGTGGCCTTTTATTATGAGAGTTCCATAGTTTTGTATAATCATTTAGGACCTGGCATCTGTTGTGAACGATATATTGTGGCTTCACTCTTTTATCTGGCTTTTCTAGCCCCAATTATTGGAGCAAGCATGAATGAACCCCACTGTGCTAGAGACGGTAGGGAAGATAATGTGGACGTTAAAAGAAGTAATTTGGAAACCTTTTGGTGTGTTTGTTTGATTCTTTTATTAAGGAAAAAAATGACTATTATGAAATACTTTGAATAAGCTGGCAAAAATGAAAGGATGGGAGAAGATGACCCTGGAGTGAAAAGCAGACTGATAGCATAAAGCAGGCTGGTGCTTTTCCTAGAGGGTATGAAAAGGGTCATTTTAGGAGCATGATAAAGAATAAATGTTTATATTAGCTAGTTTTAACATCAGAAAGGGAGGGCAGAGAAAGAACCCTCGTTGGAAATGCAGAACATTTGAAGCACCAGGAGAGTCTCCACAATAAGGTTATCCACCCTCTTCTGAAGTAGCATTCCTAGTGTGAAAGTTGTATATTAATTTATATTACTGTATCTTTGTAGTGCTTTGCATCATCTTGAAATCTTAATCTTAATTTTGTAGGCTTCCTAGCTCTTTAGAACTTCTCTGGCCAGGAGCCCAGTGATCACTGTAGTTTTTTTGCATGCCAACAAACTATATTTTGTTGCAATATCACCAAATGCTTTGGTTTCTTGGAATAGAATAGAATAGAATAGAATAGAATAGAATAGAATAGAATAGAATAGAAAATAGAAAATAGAAAATAGAAAATAGAAAATAGAAAATAGAAAATAGAAAATAGGATAGGATAGGATAGGATAGGATAGGATAGGATAGGATAGGATAGGATAGGATAGGATAGCAATAGCAATAGCAATAGCAATAGCACTTAGACTTATATATCACTTTACAGTGCTTTACAGCCCTCCCTAAGCGGTTTACATAGTCAGCCTATTGCCCCCAACAATCTGGGTCCTCATTTTACTCACCTCAGAAGAATGGAAGGCTGAGTCAACCTTTGAGCCTGGTGAGATTTGAACTGCCAAATTGCAGGCAACCGGCAGTCAGCAAAAGTAGCTTGCAGTACTGCATTTTAACCAGTGTGCCACCATGGCATAGAATAGTTCTTTCTTGGCCACATTTGATTGGGCACACAAGGAATTTGTCTCTGATGCACAAGCTCTCAGTGCATATACAAACACCAAAGTAATACCATCATAAATTACCAGTAGGAGAAGTAGTAGGAAAGGTGAGAAGGATAATAGTAACCCAGCCCTACTACATGGGTAAATATCCTTAGACATAAGACAGTGTTGTGGGAATTAGGTGTTCAGCAGAGTGTTGGCACAAGGGAAAAAATCTTTTGTTTCTCTAGTTGTTTGGGCATGAAATGCCCTAAAGCAGCATCCTAAGGGGAGGAGTTAAAACACTTTATTTCCAGGACGTGAGGGGTCTGTAGATATTTTCTTAGCCCTCTTTTTTTATATACCGCTTTACAGTGCTTTACAGCCCCCTCTAAGCAGTTTACAGAGTCAGCCTATTGTCCCCCAACAATCTGGGTCCTCATTTTCCTCACCTCAGAAGAATGGAAGGACGAGTCAACCATGAGCCTGGTGGGATTTGATCTGCCAATTGCAGTCAGCCGGCAGTCAGCAGAAGCAGCGTGCAGTACTGCACTCTAACCACTGCGCCACTGAGGCTCTTTCTGACTTGTGCAGGTCCTCAATGGAAGACAGGATGGTTTCAAGTGTTTTTTCCTGCAGTCCTAACTATCCGTTGAAGTCTGTACCCATCCCGTTTGGTTGCTGTACCAAACCAGACAGTTATAGAAGTTAGTGGGCATTTTTCCCACAACAACAGATTAGATTTTTATTCCTCTGTAGTTCAGGACATGGCTGGTATCTGTTAACGTCCATTCCCAAGAGACAAGCAAAGGCATTTTTATGCTGGAGGTAAAGCATAAGATGACAAGACTAAAAGTTGGTTCTTTTTCAGTACCATCTACATGCTAAAATAACCCATCAAAAATGTGTATATCTTTAATCACATTTATTAGATTTTTTCTTTTTTGCTAAACCATTGAAACTAACAAGCCTGTTTGGGTGCACTGCTGAGTCTAAAGTTATTATGGATATTCAGAGATAGGTGAGAAAGTGTTTAGCATGATGGTGAAAGCTTTTCAAATTCTGCAATTATAAGAAATCAAGTCATTTTGTATCATTTTACCACACTTGAAATATTCATTCATTTATCTCTTCATCTATCTATCTACAAGGGCTTATATATTGCTCCAATCAAAAAGAACTCTTGAATATCTTGCATCTCCCCTTTGCTAACAAGGTTAAAAAAACCAACAGTGACACCAAATATCCATTAGCAATTACAGCTGAAAGTTTCTACATGAGAGGAACTTTTCTGAGAGGAACAGTTCTGTAGCGGACAAGTAAAGCTCTACAGATAATCATTAAAACTGCCCAGAATATCATCGGGCTCCAGCTACCAGCCCTGGACGACATCTTCAAATCTCGCTATTTGAGGAAGTTGCAGAACATTCTCAGAGACTCTTCCCATCCTGCTTATAATCTTTTTGGACTGTTGCCTTCTGGCAGAAAATACAGAACAATTAAAACTCAGACCACACGTTTTCTGAATAGTTTTTATCCCAGAGCTATAACTGCACTCAACAATGAACTAAAGGGCCACCATCAGTGAGCTGTTAGACAGCATTACTTGGTCTGTTGTGTGGATGTTTGGGTGGTTTAGGAACGGGGAATTTGTGGTGGGGGGTGGGTGTTTGGGGATTGTTATGTGTGTTGGGCCTGGTCTTTGGGTGTTAAGTGAATTTTGTTGTATGGGTATACTGTGTATACACGAACAATAACAATAAAGTTATTATTATTACTTACTTTGTTCATTAAACATGAAACTCAGTCAACTGAACATTCAAAAATGCATCACAAATACCATTGACTGGTGCTAATAGTTGATACGGGTTGCTGCCAGCATCCTAGGTATCAACCAAGTACCTTCTTAAGATGTACAATATTCCAAGTAGCGCAGTTTTTTGCAGTTCTGCTGGTGTTATTGCAGGAAGCTGCAATTCGCTGATGTATCTTATAAAATTCTTGGACATGGTACCAAGTGTCCTGATGACAATGGGTATCACTGAACATGATTCATCCATAGCTGTGTAGTTTCGATGGCCAGGTCGCGATATTTCATGATTTTTTTCCAGTTCTTTTTCTTCGACTCTGGCATCTCCTGGTACCGCAATATCAATAAATTGTACGTTTCGGTTTTCGACAACTGTGATATCTGGGGTGTTTTGTTCCAAGTGACGATCTGTCTGTATTCAAAAGTCCCACAAGATCTTCATCTTATTCGAGTCCCACAAGATCTTCACCTTAATTTTCTATAACTTTTTCCACTTTATGTTCCCAAAATATTATTATTATTATCATTATCATTACCATTACCATTACCATTACCATTATTATTATTTCAGTCATCCGTGTTGGTTGTAGTCCAAGTGCAGGAGAGACTTTTATATTTCTACACAACCCACTTCCATGTGTACCAAAAGTTAAGCATCTACGTGCTATGGGAAAGAGGCTGGCCCTTGATAGAATAATACAGTTACCTGGACTAGAAAAGAAATGTAAAAACTGAAGTTAGTGTTGTGGCTCCGATCACCGAGTCTGTGTTATCAGCAGGAGAGGACTCCGAGAGTGAAGGAGAGGAGGACCCTCCTCTCTGGCAATGCCTCCGGTGTCCTCCGAAGGTCAAGAGATAGGCCCAGGGCCAAGCACTTCCATGCAGCCGCAGGTGGACAGTAATGATGATGATGATGAGTCTTGGCTGGACCCTCGACAGCGTCGCAGAGATAAGCGCGCGCAGCAGAGGAAGAGGCATGCCAGGGATTAAGCTGAGTCACTGGGCCAAACCCCTCAGGGTATAAAAGGGGGTGTGGTGGCTGTTCAAGCTCTGTGACGAGCAAAAACTGATATTGAACAAACCTCTCTGCATTGCTGGACTTTTTCAGTATTCTCTTATTTTTTGTGTGTTGGCTTTGAAAAAACACTCCCTTCGTAAGTAAAAGACTCTTGGCAGCCAGCCACTGGGTTGCTGCCAATTCTGCTCTTAGAGAAACCTTTGTCAGCTGGTTTATTTCACTATTGACTGTCTGTGGGGGTGCGTGTGTGAGACGGGGACAGAACAGTTATGAGAGAATTTGAATCATTGTAAAAGGAGTGCCAATCACATGTGTTGGTCATGGGAAGTATGCCCAGCTCTTCTATCAGATCTCTTATCTTTTGAGAGCAAATTTTCTGATTGGAACCACATTCTTCACCTATTTTGTCACTTTAAACTAGCAACCCTGGATAGTAAAGGAAATCTGGAGTCAAAGCCCTCCAAGATTTTACTTTAGAAAGTCTGTTTTCACATTGACCTACAAATATTGCCTTCTCTAACAATGTTGACTCGCTTAAACATCCCACTGACCCCCTTTCAAGCTCTGGACTCAGCTGGCTATTCAGTTCTGATGTTTGTTTGTTTTTTTTCCTCAGGTCGTCATGGAGATGGAGCCTATTGGCCCGTTGACACGAATTTGATTGACAGGAGCAGCCTCAATGGTAAATATGACTAAAGCCAAATCCTTCCCTTTCGATTGCCATTGGTTATCTCTGTCTGATCTGTCTGATTTTTACATTTTTCTACCTTTTCTTCACTCCCATTTCATCTCGGTGCCCCTTAGATGAGGCCAGAGTTTCAACTTTGGGAAGACCTCAAGTAAATTGGCACAGGAGTCCCCCTTAAAAGTTAAGAGTATGGGTTGACTGACTTCATGGCTGAAATGGGCATGGAGATGATTTTAACTGGTTCAGAGTTTAACTGGGGTGTGGGGGGTGGGCAATGACTCAGTGGTTAAAGACACTGAGCTTGTCTGCTGGAAAGCTGACAGTCTGATTTCAAGACCCGAGCACCACATAACCTAGCAGTTATGCAAATGTTAGTAGATTAATAGATATACTTTGGTGGGAAGGTAACAGCATTCAGTGTCCCTTTGGAATATAGTCATGCTGGCCACATTATCATGGAAAATGTCTTCAGACAATGCTAGCTCCCTTGGCCAAGAAATGGGGATAAAAATAAGCACCATGATCTAGAGTGGGACATGCCATAACAGGAAAACCTTTACCTTCAGAGCTTAATTACAGCATATTCACTTAAAGCCAACAGGCAAAGTCCAACTTAGCAATATTCTTAAAAAGATTTTACCAACATAGTTTACAATATATTGCTTTTACTCAGGGGTGAAATCCAGCAGGTTCTAACAGGTCCTGGAGAACCGGTAGCAGAAATTTTGAGTAGTTCGGAGAACTGGCAAATACCACCTCTGGCTACCCCCAGAGTGGGTTGGGAATGGAGATTTTGCAGTATCCTTCCCCTGGAGTGGGGTGGGAATGGGGATTTTGCAATATCCTTCCCCTGCCATGCCCACCAAGCCACGCCCACAGAACCAGTAGGGAAAAAAATTGGATTTCACCCCTGCTTTGACTGATTTTTCTTTTCTTTCTTTTTCATTTTTTTCATTCCATTTTTCTATTTACAATCTACATCTAATTTTGGAACATTGACATACAGTCATGCTATCAATATCAATATCAATATCGTGTTTATGATTTTTAAGCTTTGTAAGACATTTTGAGTTTCTTAAAAGTAACATAATGAACTTAGTTCTGTACATTTCTATGCATATGTATTAATGAAGTAGAGCAGGGGTGTCAAACTCAAGGCTGGGGGGCCGAATCTGGCCCTCGGGGTGCTTAGATCTGGGCCACTGGAAAACAGTGAAGGATTGGCCCGCGGTGCCTCTGCCAGTGAAAATGGAGCTTGGAAAGGCCACATGCAGCCCACCCGAGCACCGTTTTTGCTGGCAAGGGGTTGCAGGAAGCTGTCACAGCCGAAAACTGAGCTTGGGAACCCGTTTTTTGCTGGCAGAGTGCTCAGGCCGCCACTGGCGCCCCCAACACAAGTGATGTTGAGCTGTCCACGACCACTACGCCCATTTCCCCCAGCCCCCCCCCCAAGGTCAAACGCAACCCTGATGTGACCGTCAATGAAATCACGTTTGACACCCCTGAAATAGAGGATTTTAAATTTAGTGACAATTTTTCATTGCTTATTTACTGGTATCTTCTTGTTATCAGCTGTGTCCCTTTTTGCCTTGTTTTCCTTTTATACAGCTATTTACTCTATTCCTTTAAATGTTTCAATAAACAAAGTATAACAGAACATAACACACCCAAAAAGCAAGTGTACTGAATTGCGACAGTCTATATGGCTGAATCATGTGTTTGTGTGATTGATAAATGTTCAGAGTTGTGTTCCCATCACATCAGGGCAGGAAAAAAATGGGTAACCATGTCCCTCTATATTATTTTCTGGCAAAGCAGAACACAGATCTGACTTTTCATTGCCACCACAATGGTAACTTCCTAATAAGGCTGTCTATTTATGATTACAGTGGTTCGTAGACTAACTAAACCTCTGAACCTTCACTTCATTTCACTTATGGTCATTCAAAATTCCAGCCATTTTAGACAAGTCAATATAACGTAGCTCCTTACATATATTCGTGTGGGCTTCCTTGGCAATTTGCAAAGCTTTTGCTCACATAACATTTTACATAGGTGCCAGGAATGTTGATTCATACAACAATTTACTGCTAATTGCAGGGTAAAAGAAACAAGTAAAGTTGCTGATTAGGAATATTGTTTTGAATGTTCTTAATTAAGAAGATTTTGGTTTGACAGCCATGGCATACAAATTATTTGAACTGGCATGGAACATTTCCGTAAAAAATTAATTATTCAATAGATGTCTAGTAATTGTTTTGGATACTTGTCACTGGGATGCTGTTCAGTGCAATATGGAGACATTTCATGGAGCCCCAGACAATCAGCTGCTTGTGCTAATCAGGCTGTGTTGAAACTGAAATGGGCTGTTTGCTGTTTGCTGCAAGGAGGCAAATTGCTGGGAGGCAGAGGCCAAAGGGTGAGGGCCGGCGGGTGGGCAGGGCTACATTCAGTGTATAAGATGCACCCAAATTTAAGTTCATCTTATACTCTGAAAAATATGGTAATTTAGCAGAAGTAAAATGCATTTGAGGATGTAACATTTCTATTTTATATTTTAAGGGTCCTAATGGAAATTTAATTTTAATTAAGCCTGGCCCAATATAGCAAACCGTGAAGGAAAATCTCCTATGGTTTTCAAAAGATTAATACAATGTAATAATTACTAACTTTGTTTGAACATGCTATCATTACACCATTCCCTGACTAATGGGAATTCAGAATTTTCAAACTATTGAATACATTAGGAAAAATAAGTAGCTGAAGGTTGCACAAAGCCACTCATAAAAATACAACATTAGTACCAAGCCAATAGCTGATTACATCAGATCAGTTCGTTTTTCAACACATGAAATGAAAAAGGAATGCTTAATGTTGTCATTATATCCCTTTGTATATTAGGGGCATGAATCAGAAATAGTATCATGAAATCTGGATGCTGACAGTCAGGATATTATTTGATAGCTAACAATTTTCTGTATCAAAGGCAGAATAAATGAAGCTTCTTGATTGTTGTTATAATTTTGTCTTGTTAGTGATAGAAACCAAGGCCTTCTAGGTTTGTTTCTTGGATTCCCCCTGTCCCTAAACGTACAAATGTTTGAAATCAAATAAGGGAACGAAAAAACCCAGCTATTTACAAAGAAGGATGGACAGGCTTATGAAAATATTGCAGTCTATGGAGATTCTCAATCATCCAGGTCATCGATGTTCCAAAGGTGCTTTTCCAAAAGGCAAATGGATTTTCCTGGCTTTTGCCTTGAAAATGTTTCGCTTCTCAACTGAAGAAGTTTCTTCAGTTCTAAGTGAATGGTAGGGAACGGTTTATTCATGATTTAATGGTTTCCTCATGGAAAGCACCTTTGGGATATCACATGTAAAATTATGATTGACTATAGGAAGTCATGGTTCTATGTTTAAGAGAAAGAGAGAGAGAGGGAGAGAGAGAGAGAGAAAGAGAGCTTTTTAAGAGATATATCCTAAGGTTTTGAGGCTACAACTTGATGTTCCAGGACCGCATATGACCCTGGAAACCTTGCATACTACTTGAAGGACCATTCACATAGAATAAATGGTAGATTCCTTTTTATATTTGTTTGGAGAAACAAAATGTATATTTTGTTGTGTATATGAAATGGTGATGGAATGGTTTAAATCTAGGGTGTCATATTATATCTCAAGACTTGGTGATAGGGTTATATCTAGATTGAACAACCAAGAAGTAGATGCAGACAGAGATAAAGATCCAAGAGAGCAGGGGTGGGTTCTAAATTTTTTTACTGTGGGCGTGGCTTATATTGTGGGTGTGGCTTGGAGGTCATGTGACTAGGTGGGCATGGCTAGCTGGTCAGAGTCATTTCTGGAAGGTCCTCGCACTTACGACCAGTCCTAGCACTTACGACCCAACTCATTTGTTTGCTTTTAACACTGATCAGCTGTAGGATGGCCCTTTGAAGCCCCGCGGCAAGAGTTTAAACAGTTTTTTTCCCTCTAGTCATCAGCTGGGACTCAGGAGGCAGCAATAGATTGGGGGTGGGACCAAATAAAAGGTAAGAATAACGTGGGTGGGAGGGCGGGGGGAGAACCAGTTCGGTGATGTCATATCGTCACCACTACCGGCTCGGCCGAACCGGACTGAACCGGGAGGAACCCACCATTGCAAGAGAGGAATATGGGAGGCAAGTCAAAAAAAGCATAGCAATTAAAGTATTGAAGCGGGCAAGAGATGATGGATAGATGATTTCTCCTTTCTGTTGTTGTTGTTCTGATTTGCTTTTCTTTTTCTCTCGCTTTCTTTTCTTTTTTTAGGTAGGTGACATGACTAGACGTTAGGTAGGATAGGAAGAAAATGTTTTTTAATAAAGGGCGACATTATTAAAAGTTAGAATAAGAGATAGAAATAAGTGAAGGGGGAATATTAGTGTATCTACTTTTATATAATAAAATAAAAGCAATAACAAGAAAACAAGGAATAATTGGATAATGATAAACTGCAGCTTAATGTAAATGTGTATTATTAATAGAAATAAGTTGATTGAATGAAATAATTATGATTAATTTTACTAGTTTTATTCGTATTAGAATGTATGACAACCAGGTGCCACACTGTTCATGCACTGATATATTTGTAAAAAAACAAAAAAACAAAAAACTTACAAAAAATAAAAGAGAGACTGGGCAATAGGTATTACTAGAGTAGTATTAATATGAATTGGATGGCTTCATAGAGGCCCAGTCTACTAAGGCTATTCGTCCTAAAGATTACATGTGGTCTCCGAGTTCAGAGGTAGCACATCTCCAAATGTCAGCTACAGGACAACAAAGGATAAAAAGGCTTTGGTTCAAAATATTGGGCTTCAGTGGGCCTTTACCTGATCCAGCAGGGTTATTTTGTTATTGTTATGTATTAGCAACATCTGGATTTACACATCTACAATGTGTTCAATTGGAGCCTATCGTCAAAGAATACTTTAGAAGCTGCTATTGATCCCACA